CCCCCCTGCTCCATGGGGCAGCCCCCCCCCCCGTCTTGTCCTGGCAGGACCCTGCTCTTGGGAACTGGGGCTGGGGTGGCTGGTGCCAGCCCCCTCCCTTCTCCCCTGAGTTCTGGGGGGGCTGTGACCCTCAGGGGCTGACACAGGACAGGCAGGGGACCAGACCCCGGCAGGAGACACCTCCCCCCAAGATCCCTTGAGCAGGATCTGGGGTGCAGGCACCGCTCTGTGGGATGCTCTGGATGTGGGATGAGTGGGGATGTGGGGAGGGGGCTGCAGCCCCCCGCAAGCTTCCCCCAGCTCAGGGAGATGCAGGGAACTCCTGGAGTCACCATCTTTGCAGAGCGAGTCTTTATTCCTCTTGGAGCCAGAGCGAAGATAGAGGAGGAGCTGCTGGGGAGGGGGACACCATCAAAACCAGCCCTACTGCATCCCCCCAAAATCCACGGCCACCCCCATCCCTGAGGGGGGACACCCCATGCTCAGCTGCATCCAAAAGCCCCATCTGCAGCTCTGCTGAAGGTCCCCGATGTGTCCCCAGGGCTGGAGGCTCATCCCAGGAGGGGTGGCACCGTGGCAGAGCTTCAGCTGGGAATGGGGGCTGCAGCAGGGCTGTCCCCATGCCCCCAGCCCCAAATACTGTCCCCTCCCATCCCACCATCCCGATGATGCTGGTGGCTTCCATCTCAGACCCCTTTCCCTCACCGTGATACGGTGGCATCGGTGGCATCGGGGCTCAGGGTTCCCCCGCGGCTGCCAGGGCTGTGTCTTCCAGGAGCAGGGAGGTCCCCAATGATGGTCCTGCCTCGAGGTTGAGAGTTTGGTCGGGGGGAATGTCAGCCAGGGGGGGCCCGGCTGGGGGGTCACCCTCCCCATTGGCAGCGGGGGCTCCGGGATCACCTGCCTTGAAGTTGCGCTTCTGGTTCTGGTGTTGCTTCCCTGCCAAAGAGACCAACAGACCCAGGGGATGGAGGGATCATTTCGGGGGGGATAGAGGGACCAACCCAGGGGATGGAGGGACCCTCACGGGGGAACGGAGGGACCCTCACGGGGGATCTCACCTTTCAGCCATTCGCAGTTGTACCTGCTGTATGTGCCCTTGGGGAGGAGCTTGATGTGGGTGGCGTTCCCCTGCTTGCGGATGTCGATGACCTCGAATGTCTCGTAGGGCGGGACGAGGACCTCATTCACGTTGGGAAAGAAAGAAAAGTTCCTGATGGGGAAGCCATGGTAGGTGGACAGCGAGAAGAAGGTGTCCCGGCCGAAAAACTCGGCCGTCTCCTTCACGAAGGAGGTGGAGGCAAATTGGCCGAAGCGGATGAGATCGTGGCGCTTGGCGGTGAAGTGGATGTTCCGGTTGCCCCGATAGACGTGGTAGCAGTTGGGCTGGGCATTCCGCAGGATTTTCAGGGCCTGGGTCAGGAGGTAATGCAGCGTCTTGAAGTGAAATTTGTACAAGTATACATTGCGGGAGCGCCCGGCCTCGCGCACGGCCGTGTTGAAGGCCTTGTACAAGCTTCCATTTCGGGAGTACGCCAGGAGGGCCGTTGCATGCTCTGCCCGCAGCGCTGGTGGCCTGGGGACATAAGCCGCCCTCTTCTTCCATTCAGCAGCAGCCAGGGGCCAGTAGTGGGCGTAGATGCTGTTTTTGGTGAGCTCCATCTGGTGGAGCTTCCCCAGCTCCTTGTCCATTTGGTGGCCGCAGCCCCGGTACTGGTCATCGAAGGAGGTGCAGGCCATGTCCAGCTTGATCTGCTTGATGGGCCCCAGGTCCTGCAGGGGGTTGCCGGCGGCCAGGGTCCCAGCAAACAGCACCAATCCCAGCACCAGGTGCTCCATGGATGTGGACCTGTTGGAAAGGGTCCATTGGAGGGCCATAGAGATATTGTGATGACTGGAGCCCCTCTGCTGTGAGAACGGGGAAGGTTGTGACATGGAGATATTGAGAGTGGTAGCAGAGGGGACAACCACCCTCCCCGTTCCCCAGGCATCGCTTGGAGGACTCACCGTGGGGGTGTGTGGGGGGCAGCACCCTGGTCCCCACATGGCTGCAGCCCCCTCATGTTCCCCCACGGTTTCTGGGGCTCCTTGGACAAACCCTGGTTACCCACCTGCCGGGAGGAAGGAGCCCAAATCCCTGGAACCTGCTGTGAATTCCCGAGGAGCTTCCCTGCAGCCGCTGCCCCGTCTGGGTCTCACCCTGCCCCGGGGGGAGACGGGCACCCTCGGGGAAGGGTTTTTATCTCAGTGATGGCTGTTGAGATGGTCACAGACCTCCTGGTCCATCCCACCACCCCAGAACCCCCTTCTTCTGTGCCTGGAAGATGCTGGACCCTCTCGGAAAGGGCTGGGGTTGTGCAAGGGGGTTGGTTCACTGTGGTAAGATTGGGATAAGAGTGTCTTCACCATCAGGTGATAAAATGCAGATAAGAGTAGCTCCACAAACTTAACTGAAATTAACTGAAATTGCAGGGGCGAGATAACTAACAAATTGGGGAAATAACCAAAACTGCAAAAGTTAGACAACTGAAAAACCGCAAAAGTTAAACTTTTATGTAACAGGTGGATTGAGAAGTCTGTACCTTCCAGGTCCCTCAGCCAATGGGGAAAGGAAGAGGGGCACATGCAGGCGGGGAATTAGGATAAAGTGGAGGTTGTGTCCTCTAGCAAGTGGAGAGACCCCACAGGGGAATGCCCCAGTGGACTCTCCCTTTATTCGAATAAAGTCTTAGAATCATAGAATTGTCCAGCTTGGAAGGGACCTTTCAGATCATCGAGTCCAACCATCAATCTGACTCTCATAAAAACCACCACTAAACCATGTCTCTAAGCACTATGTCAACTTGTCTTTTAAATCCCTCCAGGGATGGTGACTCCACCACTGCCCTGGGCAGCCTCTGCCAAGGCTTCACCACCCTTTCCAGGAAGAAATTGTTCCCGAGCTCCATCCTCAACCTCCCCTGGGGCAACTTGAGGCCGTTTCCTCTTGTCCCATGGCCTGTTCCTTGGGAGAAGAGACCGACCTCCCCCCCCCTGGCTACCCCCTCCTTTCAGGGAGTTGGAGAGAGCCAGAAGGTCACCCTTCAGCCTCATTTTCTCGAGGCTGAACAAGCCCAGCTCCCTCAGAAGTTCTCCAGACCCTTTTCCTTGTGCTCCAGAGCCCTCACCAGCTCCGTTGCCCTTCTGTGGACATGCTCCAGCACCTCAAGATCTTTTTTGTGGTAAAGGGCACAAAACAGTCCTTGAGGCGGGGCCTCATCAGTGCCAAGTACTGGAAGACAGTTACCTCCCGAGTCCTACTCACCACACTGTACCTGATACAGGCCAGGATGCTGGTGGCCTTCTTGGCCACCTGGGCATGCTGCTGGCTCATGTTCAGCCCACAGGCGACCAACACCCCCAGGTCCTTTTCCATGGGGCAGCTCCAGCCACTCTGCCCCCAGCCTGGAGCATCCATGGGGTTGGTGTGTCCCAAATACAGGACCCGTCACTTGGCCTTGGTGAACCTCACACCATTGGCCTCGAACCATCCATCCAGCCTGTCCAGGTCCCTCTGCAGAGCCTTTCTACCCTCCAGCAGGTCGACACTCCCACCCAACTCGGTGTCATTTGCAAACTGACTGAGGGTGCGCTCCATCCCCTCGTCCAGATCATCGATGAAGATGTAAAAGAGACCTGTCCCCTGCCTTTGCAGGACTCCTCTGTCTCCTTTGTGAACATCGACCTCCAGCAACGAGGTTATCTGCCCCAGATGATGCCTCACGGGGGACGTTGCAGGGCTCAGGGCTGCAGGGCTAGGGGGATTCTTGGGGGACACAGTCCCCGCCTCGATGGATGCTGGGTGGAACCGTCCTTGGCTCGTGGGATGCTGGTGGTGGGCAGAAGTTGGGGGGATGGTGGGGTGAGGGCGTGCTGGTGGAGGATGCTGGGAGGGCAGATGCTAGGAGGAACCGTCCCAGGCTCGGGGGGTGCATCCATCCTGGCATGTCCGGTTCTGAGCCCCATTTCTCCCCACAGGGACCCCCAGTTCCCCCGCCCAGCTCCTCCTGACCCTGCTCTGTTGATCCCTGGCCTCCCCCTACACGGGTACGTGGGGGCTGGGGAGGGGGGGAGCAGGTCCAGCTCTGGGCTCTGTGCCTTTCCCTCTAAAGTGCCCTGTGGGGTTTGCTGGGGATGATCCGTGCTCCTGTCCCCACTGGCAGACCCTGCCCTCTTGCCCACCCTGGAGCTGTGGGGTCTCGAGGAGGGGGCAGAAGTTTCCCCCCCCACCTCACCCTGCTCTTCTCCCCTAGCTGCTGTGGTCCTGCACCCCTCAGAATCAATGACCTGCAGAAGATGGCACCTTCCAGGTGAGTGACCCCCCCAGGGCGATGGCAGGGGTGGCCGGGGGGATGGGGAGTGGGCTATAATGTGACCCCCAGCTGGGGGGAAGCACATGTGGGGTCATATAATCATGGAATGGTTTGAGTTGGAAAGGACCATAAAGATCATCCCCATACTCCTGGCCCTGGGCAGGGACACCTCCCACCCAGAGCAGGTTGCTCCAAGCCCCCTCCAACCTGGCCTTGAACCCCTCCAGGGATGGGGCAGCCACAGCTTCTCGGGGCAACCTGGGCCAGGCTCTCACCACCCTCACACCAAAGAAGTTCTTTCTTGTGTCTAATCGAAATCTCCCTTCTTTCAATCTAAAACCATTACCCCTCATCCTATCGCTGCTCTCCCTGACAAAGAGTCCCTTTCCCTCCCCAGCTCTCCTGTAGGCTCCCTTCAGAAACTGGAAGGGGCTATAAGGCAAGATGACCAGCAGACCACTGAAGTGTCTCTACACCAACGCACGCAGCGTGGGCAACAAACAGGAGGAGTGGGAAGCTGTCCTGCCACAGGAAAGCTACGACATAGTAGCAATTATGGAAACTTGATGGGATGAATCCTACGACTGGAGTGTGGCCATTGATGCTACAAGCTGTTCAGAAGGGACAGGAGA